CACTTCGGTTTCTTCAAATCTGGGGAAACCTATCCAGTTTAAAAGCAAGGCAAAGAGGATCAAACAACGTTTGGGACTGACATTAAAAAAAACGGGAATAATCGGGTTTAAGAGATGGGTTGATGTCCAAACAGGACAGACCTACCTCCCACTGCCACTCTGCACCAATTTTTCTTCAGTCCAAAGAGATAGGTTGAATAAGAAATTTCTTAAAAGGAAACAAAATCCTGGACTTTACTCCTAGCTCTCCATCTTTGAAGCTGGTGAGCTAAAGGGGTTTCACCCGCCAAAGGAAATAAAAAGTTCCGAGAAAAATTCTACTACCAAGTTCACAACCTCCAAATGCTGGAGGGAGAAACAGATTTTGTCATGGTACCTCAAGGAAACTCATGGTGAGGACCATGGCTGAGAAAAAAAAAAAAAGACTTAGGGAGCAAATAAGACGCTTCTTCAAGAACCTCTGTTCATCCACCTTAGAAGAGATGAGCAGAACAAAGAGCACTCTTGGCCAAAATCAGAGACGAATTAAGAGATTGCGTAATCAAGGGAAATACTTATGTAGAACGAAGATTGGTTAATGAAGAAACATATCCATGAAGAAGGGCACGCAGAGGGTAGCACTTAGCAAGCTGATGACAGAGGAGAATATAATATCCTTCACTAGCGACACAGGACGGAATGTTTCTAGATACTTTCAACTACAACGAAGCTCTCAGACTCATTACCGTCCTGAAACAACACCTCCAGAGATTCTCCAAGAAAAACTTCCTTTGCAAACTCAAAAAAGACTGATCATGTGCACGGTTCACCAAATCCAAACAAGTGTCAGATGGATTCTGTTAACGGAGTCATCATCTATGACGCCTCCTTATGATGCTGTAGAGAAACCTAAACCCTATTTGCATTACCACCTAAAAGTTCTTCAAAAACTTTAGGTCTACGCTACGGCTTCTTCCCTAATCAATCGAAACTAAAACCGTATGAGAACAATCAAATTTACCAGAGAAACATCCAACGATCTAATCACGAAAAACGTAGAGAAAAACAAAGAATCTACGAATTTTTTTACTATTAGATCACGAACTTTCGATCAGGGGCGAAATAATCTCCTCCACCGATTCGATAACTTTCCCGATAGAGAAACGCACGCTGCTGCTGAGTTCTCCCAAGCGAGAGAAACGTTTCGATTTGAAAGTGACGACGAGACGAGTGTTTTTTATTTGTTGAGGAAATTAACTTAGTGAGGACACCTTCCTTCCTTCCCTCGCGTGTGGGGTTTTACTTTTATATTTATAGTGAGGCTTGACTTTTTCCAGATACTTCGAATTATTGCCGTTTTCCGGCGCAAGAGAAATTATATAATTGGTTTTTTTTTTATTTGATTTCTGTTGACAGCTAAAATATCTACCACCATTCATTTCCATGATCTTCCCCCAGCTTGAATATCTAAACCCAAAATGAAGAGAAAACAAATTACACACGTCGTCAAATATTCTTCCAACTGTCTAATATTTCGTTGCCACAAATGGAATGAATGCATTATACACCACACTACGGAAAAATTGGAAAACAATGAAAATGCAAACTTATTTTTTACATTGAGATGTGAAATTCCAAAATCAAAATTAAATTGTCTAAATGTTAAATAGAAAATAGCAGAATTCTTTTTTTTTTTTAACAATTAATGGCAGATTGCATAGACGAAATAACACTTCCTTTTTCTGACAAAAAAATAACACATACTTTAAATTAAAAATGTATGTACATGAACTGATATTTTTACATTATTGCGTGGTTAAGGGTACTTACGTGTTGAACTTGAAGAAGTTATTTCGGAGATGGGGATGGTGACGTGGCTACTAAATGATTGGAAATCTTTACAAGTTTGGATTCTATGCAGGGTCGGTCCTGAGAAATAAGGGGTTTAGGACATTGTTATTGTAAGGTTTTTAAGGTAAAGTCCTTAATACATATATGTGTATTAAGGACTTTACCTTAAGAACTTTGCAATAATGATGTCCTTAGGGTGATTTTTAAACAGTTTCACCTAAATTTTTTTTTTTACATATTTGGGGGTCTAAAAATTTTTTTTGGGGGTCTATGTACATATAGTTTTTTTCAGAAAAATTGGGGACCCAAGACGAATGTTTCATCCGGCTTGGCCCAGGACCGACCCTGATTCTATGATTAGTTTACGTATAAAAAATACATTCCATTCCACCAAGCATCAACGCTTATCTTATATCTATGATGTAGACACTTTATCAACTCTTCTTCCCTATCCTTTCAATGATACAAAATCACATACCATCTCACAAAAAAATAAGTAGAATTATATAGATTGGGTGGTAAGACCACAATGTTTTAATTTATTTATTAAATGAGTGATTATTAATGAATTTAATCGGGGATGAAACGCATTAGAAAGCTCTTGCGTATGCGTTTATTTATTTGGGTAAATGGTTTAACTCCACCCATCTCTTGGACCGGTTGATTTGAGAGCCTTTTTTTCTTTCTGATTCTGACATGTACAGACACGCCGAGTCAGCCAGCCAATTACTAGTGGCCACGTCAGCATACTTATAACCTGGTCAAGGTTAAAGATAATAACCTTTCCAAAACAGACCCTACCATGATGCGACCTTCAAGTAAACGCTCGTCCTTTGTGATTCCTCTCTCCGCTTACGATATACTAATAAGTCCATAAAGTCAAGAGTTAGTTGTCTTTCCTTTCCCACTTTCTCTGCAGTTACAATCGTCTCTCTTCTCCAACCATCTTTTCTTCTCGTAAGCTCATTTTCTCTCTCGTTTCTGCTTCTCCGTTGACGTGACGCGATCGCAACGGTGGCGCTTGTTCGTGTTCTCTTTTGTCTCCATGATGAATAGGCTAGAGTAGAATAGTATCTCTTCCTTCGTATGTTCATGTGCTCCTCTAGACGATGTGTGTAGCGTCGATGCCTTAGGTTCTCGGCCTAGCTTATAATCTTGATCGTTACCTAAGGCGTTAACAAGAGAAGCTGATCTTATTATATGATTGGCTTGATCAAATGCCTGTGAGGAAACAAATCATTCGATGATTGGCTGATTTGGATTTGTTTTTTTTTTTTTTTTTTTTTTTTTTTAACAGCTGATTTGGATTTGTTATTCGCACACTTCTTCTACTCCGATCCAACATTTTCATTTTTTTTTCTTGATGCCCTAAACTCATTTAAAATTTTAAGTCCTTATTATTTATGTAAAAATTTTAATTGCTCTATATGTAATTAAAAATATTATTTTAAATTATGATGCCCTAAACGGTCGCTTACCTCGCTTGTGCTCGGACCTGCCCTGACTTCTTGCTTAGTTAATAATGTGGTTGCTAGGGTAGAATTTTGCATGAATAAGCCTATGATTGATATTGTGGTCTCTTCTAGATTGGTATATCTCAGTTCACAGAAAATGAAGCTAGGAGGATCAGCGTTGAATCCGAAAGCAGCAGCTTACGTACCAGTCTCCAAAAGAGACGGTGTTTCTGCAAATCATCACGTGCAGCACCAACCCTAAGGTTATGGAGTCCAAGGAAAGGGAAGTTATCCATGTTCTGAAACGTACATGCCAAAGACAGAAACAGCCTCTGAAAAGCAGATGAGTGATGAGGATTTGGAGATGGACATTGACATTGAGTTTCTTTTAGCCACATTCTCTAATTTGTCATATGAGTCTATCAGTGATGTTTACTTGGCCAATAATCATGATCTCGATGCTACTATCGAAATGCTGAACCAGCTCGAGGTAATTTATCACATCTTGATTACACTAGTGTAGATTGTAAGCTTGAGTAACGAATTGATTGTCCAATTTCTGCACATTTTTAGTAATGAAGCCGAGGAATACCTCCCAGATACACTAAACATTGGTGATGTGCCTGAAACCATCGAGTTCTCAACTTCTTCAGCTCCAAAACAAAAGAATGAAAGTACTGAAGCAAGTGCATCCCCAAACGCTCCAGTGTGCTCTTCCTGATTTGTTGAGTCCTTAAATGAGAAGTTTTTTAAAAAATATATTGCAAAAGGATGATGATATGAAGTTAATGGGTATCTTAGGAGATCTCTTTTCTATAGTTGTTTCCTTGGGGGGGAGAGGAGAGAGAGAACATTGTATGGATTTCTGAAAAATATATCAAGTTTGGTTTTTGAGTATTGGGATTGTTCTTATGGTGGACAAAGCTAATATCAATCATTAGCCTCTGCTGCTCTTTTGGCCATTTTTGAGTTTTTAATAAAGACTCCACTATTATGACTAACGGAATTGATTTTGTTCTTTGGTACTTTTTAATGTTCTTATATCTAGGGCTGGGACTTATATCCGGGATCCGCTATCCGATCCAGGATCCGATCCGATCCGCTCCGAAAAAACGGATATCCGGGGGTCCGGATCCGGATCCGGATAGTAAAAATTTCAATCCGGATATCCGGATCCGGATCCGGGCACACTAAATATTTAAAAAATATTTAAAATATAATTATATTTATATAGGTATATTATATATTTTTTATTAAATATAACTAATATTTAATTTTGTTAATAAATTCTATTATTTTAATTTAAATTTTTTGAAAATAATATTTTTTAATAAAATAAACAAATACTGAATTTTGAATTTTTAGTTTTTTTGTATTTAAAAAAAAAATAAACTGGATCCGGATATCCGCGGGTATCCGAGTTTTAGTCCGGATATCCGGACCCCGGATATCCGGATGGTCCGAATCCGGATCCGGATAGTAATTTTACGGATCCGCCGAATCCGGATCCGGATATCCTGAAATACCCCGGATATCTGATCCGTCCCACCCCTACTTACATCTATTAATCATCTCAGTCAACCGAAAGTTTTTGTTAACAATGTTAATGTCATACTAGATCATAACCCGTCCGACTGGGCGGGTCTTTGTTTTTATGGTATATATAAATATTTAAATATTACAATTTTACGGTTCCAATTTTACTAAGTAATAGTATATTGTATAAATATTGCATTTCATCATTGTATTGTGTAACAGGATGTCGGTACAATGTTGTGATCCGTAAATATTTTAGTAATATTTTATAAAGTTTTTTTTACTAAATTTGGTGCAAAGTTATATACACTAAACAATTTAGTCAAATTTTTAAGTTCATTTTTAATGAAGAATTGGAAGGCTAGTATATTACTGTTAAAAACTTATAACAATAGTCAATATAAATTATATAAATAAAATATATATTATTCTTGATTTATTCCAAATACATTTCAAACACGAGTACATATATGTATTAATAATTTTCAGAAATAAAGTAATATTAATGATAGAAAATCCAAAAACAATAATAATGGTACTTTGGGCCGTAGTAATTTTTAGTTTAATAAGTAAACACATTAGATTTGTAGGTTATCCTTGTTTTCAATCATCATAATTTTAAATACTTCCTATTCATATTTCCAAACACTTAATTTTTTGTACTTCAATTTTAATAGTATAGATAGTATACTAGTAATTAAATATTTCATTCTCCAACGGTAAGTTGTTAAAAGATAGAATGATCTAAACACAATTTCGAGATTATTTGCCTATGGGTCTTTAAATTATTAAATTAATGAATGTGGAGAGCTACATTTGCGGCCGTCTTCTCTCTCTAGGTATTATTATTAGAATCATCTAAAAATATGTCCTTAAACTTGCTCGATTTGGTTTCTTCATCTTTCTTTCTTTTTTCTCCTTTTCATCATTCATCGGTGATGTGGGAGATCTGATTCTTTTCTTCTGGGTTTTTGTTTTAGAGGAAGAAGAAATTCAAAATAATAAAAAAAGATGGGTTTGGATTATTACACCATATTGAAAGTTGACAAAAATGCAACTGAGGATGATCTCAAGAAATCTTACAGAAAATTGGCTATGAAATGGCATCCTGATAAAAACCCTACCACCAAAACCGAAGCTGAAGCTAAATTCAAACAGATCTCTGAGGCTTATGAGGTAACTTCTTTTCTTGTTCCTAATCTTTATTCCCTTAGATCCCTAAAATATTCAAAACTCTCTGTGTATACGTCTTGCTGAGATCCATTCCTTTGACTAATAATGAGTTTCTTGGGATACAAGCAAAATGTTGCTGCATTGTTAGCCAATGTTTTCATTCTAAGAATGTTTCATTTGTGGGAAAAACATTTCAGGTTCTGAGTGATCCTCAGAAGCGAGCAGTATATGATCAATACGGTGAAGAAGGGTTAAGCGGTATGCCGCCTCCAGGGAGCACAGGAAACAACGGGAGAGGAGGCGGTTTCAACCCTAGAGATGCAGAAGACATATTCGCTGAGTTCTTTGGAAGCAGTCCGTTTGGTTTTGGATCAGCTGGTCCTGGAAGGTCGACAAGGTTTCAATCCGACGGTGGAGGTGGAGGAGGAATGTTTAGTGGAAACAACGGTACTGAGAACATGTTCAGAACTTATAGCGATGGCACTGTCCCTAAGAAACCTCCACCCGTTGAGAGCAAGTTGCCTTGTAGCCTTGAAGAGTTGTACACTGGATCAACCAGGAAAATGAAGATCTCTAGAACCATTGTTGACCCTAACGGGTAAACTTTCTTTCCATTTTATCATATTATTCACCCGGCAAGATCTTTTCAGGACCGGTTCTGAGATTTTGGAGGTCATAGATATTTAATAAGTACTTTAGTAAAATAAAAAAATAAAAAATAATTTAGAGTTTGTATCCATATAAATTATTTTAAAAATTTTAAAGACCAATGCCAATGTTTCTTTGGATGGTGAAACAGGAGACAAGCACAAGAGACAGAGGTTCTAACTATTGTTGTAAAGCCAGGATGGAAGAAAGGGACCAAAGTTAAGTTTCCAGACAAAGGAAACGAACAAGTGAATCAGTTACCAGCTGATTTGGTGTTTGTAATAGACGAGAAGCCGCATGATAATTTCAAGAGAGATGGTAATGATCTCATCACTAGCACGAAAGTGACGCTTGCGGAAGCTATAGGAGGAACAACTGTGAGTATCAACACACTTGATGGGAGGAATCTACCAGTTGGTGTCACGGACATTGTCAGTCCAGGGTATGAGCTTGTGGTTCCTGGAGAAGGGATGCCAATAGCTAAAGAAAAAGGAAACAGAGGTGATTTAAAGATCAAGTTTGATGTTCAGTTTCCGACAAGGTTGACAACGGACCAGAAGTCTACACTCAAGAGGGTCTTAGTTGGTTGAAGAGGTGAGATTTTGAATCATTTCAATGCTCTTGCAGTCTTGATGATCATATGTTCCTTTGTTGTTGTTGTTCATTAGTTTTTTTCTGTAAAGAATTTGTAGCATGTTCTTTTGATGTGTCTGAAAACAATCTGTACAAATCTTTGATTGTGTTGTTGCATACTATTAAACTTCCAAACCCTTGTTTCTTACAAGACTTTTATCATTCAAATGTTTACCATCTATTGAAATGCTAATATAAAAAGAAGTCAATTAACCTAAAAAAAACACCAATAATACTACACAAAAAAATATATATATTACAGAGAGGAACAAAAAGCTGCTAAGGACGGCCCAGTGGTCTTGAGGGAGCTTCGGCCCCAATACGAATTCGGATTCGAATTCCGCTGGCCACTAGAGCTAAAATTTAAAATCTAGGTTCCTTCAGCGTCCGTTGATCATCGAGGCGTACTCCGGCCGATAACGTAGGCTGATACGGACACTCACCGCTAGTATAGATCCACTTTGGTGGATACCCGGATACACCGGGTTATTCAGGAAAAAAAAACATACTAGGGCTAGTTGATAACGTGGATCCCACGGCACTTGTGGATATAAATAAAAAGGTCCAATTAAAATTATTAAGGCTCAAACTCGATATGGGCCTTAGCTTTACTTAGGATACCTCATTAGTAAATCCAACGGTTGTAGTCACGTGTCAGTGTCTAATCAGACGGACGCTATAATTGCATGCAAGTTGTTAAATTAATATTATTACCAGAAAAACAAAACCGCTGTTCTTTTCGATAAAAGCAAATCTTCCTGTCTGAAAAAAAAAAAAAATTAAATTGCCGAGAAAAAAAAATACCATCATTTTTTTTTTCTCAGCAATCGAGAAAGCTAATACACCATAAACTCCTCTGTTTCTTTCTCCTTTCTCGATTCAAACTCTGTTTTTTTTTTTCAAATTCGAGATTTACTTTTTTAAATTTCAGAAACTTTCCTCTTTTTTATTACAATCAAAATCTAAAAGGGTCTCTTCTTCTCTCTATCTCTACCAATGTCCGTAGATACTAGGAATCATGAGATTAAGATTTGAGGAGAAAGCAAGTAATCATTATTAGGGTTTCCCAAATTAAATCAAAAGTTTCAACCTTTTCTTCCGGATCTAACCCAACAGATCTGTAGTTCTGTCGTGTTGGAAGAATGTTCTGTCCTAACACAACTTTTTAAAATCTCAATTCAATTTTCATTTCATCATGTTCAAGCAGTTCTTGAGTAAGCTTCCACGGAAGTCACCAAAACCAGACTCCACCACGGATCCAACTCAAAGATCCGGATCCGGAACCGTCTCGGCACCAACCCGATCCAACTCAGTGAAACGCATGTCCTCAGCCGTCTTCCCTTCAAGCGTCGTCGCCGGAATCGAGCCTCTAGTCCCCTTCAAAGACGTACCAAACTCAGAGAAGCTGAACCTATTCGTCTCCAAAGTCAGCCTCTGCTGCGTCACGTTCGATTTCTCCGACCAAACCAAGAACTCAATCGAGAAAGACGTGAAGAGACAGACACTCCTCGAGCTTCTCGAGTTCGTGTCTTCAGGCTCCGTTAGGTTCACGGAGCCAGCGATCCTCGCGATGTGTAGGATGTGCGGTGTGAATCTCTTTAGGGTTTTTCCTCCGAGTTACCGGGAGAATGATGATGATAATGAGCCGTTGTTTGATCCCTCTTGGCCTCATTTGCAGATTGTTTACGACCTCTTGCTTAAGTTTATTACATCTCCTTGTCTTGATGCTAAGTTGTGTAAGAAGTATCTAGACCATGGGTTTATAGTTAAGCTTCTTGACTTGTTTGATTCCGAGGATCCTAGAGAAAGAGAGTGTTTGAAGACGATTNTGATGATGATAATGAGCCGTTGTTTGATCCCTCTTGGCCTCATTTGCAGATTGTTTACGACCTCTTGCTTAAGTTTATTACATCTCCTTGTCTTGATGCTAAGTTGTGTAAGAAGTATCTAGACCATGGGTTTATAGTTAAGCTTCTTGACTTGTTTGATTCCGAGGATCCTAGAGAAAGAGAGTGTTTGAAGACGATTCTGCATCGTGTCTACGGGAAGTTCATGGTTCATAGACCGTTTATTCGCAAATCAATGAGTAATATCTTCTACAGGTTTGTGTTTGAGACGGAGAAGCATAACGGAATCGCCGAGCTTTTGGAGATTTTTGGGAGTATTGTGAGTGGGTTTGCCTTGCCTTTGAAGGAAGAGCATAAGATCTTTTTGTGGAGAGTGTTGGTTCCTTTGCATAAGGCTAAATCTGTTGGTGGGTATTTTCATCAGCTGTCTTATTGTATTACTCAGTTTATTGATAAGGAGCCGAAGCTTGGGAGTGTTGTGATCAAAGGTTTGTTGAAGTTTTGGCCTGTTACTAATAGTCAGAAGGAGGTTATGTTTCTTGGTGAGGTTGAGGAGATTGTTGAGGTGATGAGTTTGGTGGAGTTTCAGAAAGTGATGGTTCCTTTGTTCTTGAGGATTGCTTGTTGTGTTAACAGTTGCCACTTTCAGGTAGTTTTCTTGCTTCTTTTAAGAGACATTGTTAAATCTCAATTAGGGCAATCTCAAGTTTTTTCAGACAGAGATATTAACTGAATATTAAACTATCTAATAATGTTTTTAAAAGTTAATAGTTCTATCTATATATGTTTGATGTTTTTTTAAAAAAAATTATAAGCTCTAAATTTAGGATTATGTGTAAAATTTCAAAGTTTTTAGACCATAATTTATGTATATATTTTTGAAAAATTCTTGATTTTATTACTTGTGTGGCCATAATCTCAATTTTGAAGTTTGAACTGTTTGTGTTCCTTGTGGTTTAGGTTTCTGAGAGAGCTTTGTTCTTGTGGAACAATGATCAAATTGTGAATTTGATTGCACAGAACAGGCAAGCCATCTTACCAATCATGTTCACTGCCTTGGAGAAGAATGCTGATAACCACTGGAACCAATCTGTGCTGAACTTAACTCTAAACGTGAGGAAAATGTTCTGTGAGATGGACGAGGCTTTGTTCATGTCTTGCCACGCACGGTTTCATGAGGAGGAAGCAGAGCAATGCTCTGCAGAGGAGAAGAGGAAAGAAACATGGGCGAGGCTAGAGAAGGTAGCAAGTATGAAGCCTGTGACTGGAAAGACAGCTGTTTTGGTAACTCCTTTAGCAACCTCCATTGCCTGCTAATATTATCAGACAGTTTAAGAAAAATGAAGCAGAAACATCAGAAGAAGAAGAAGATGTAATGGCTGTTGCTTAAGTTATGGTCTGGATTGATTTTGTAATATTATATAGTTTTGATGTTGTTAGTTATGTGGGTTTTAAGCTAAATATCTTGCTTTAAAAGTGAGGAAGCCTTGGAACCATGATGCAGATTTTCTATATGAAACTCTTTGTATTCAATTAAGTTTATATAAGAAACCCTTTTCAGAGAGGTACATATAATTGTATTGCTAAAGAAACAAAAACATAGTTATTGTGTCTTCATCTTGACAAAAAAAGTTATTCTGTCTTCATAGTAGGCATTCATGGTCAGGTAGTTGAGCGGTTAGTTTGGTTCAACATTGTTGCTTAAGCTATGGTATGGATTGATCTTTGTAATATTATATAGTTTTGATGTTCATTAGCTATGTGGGTTTTATGCTATAGCTCTTGCTTTAAAAGTGAGGAAGCCTTGAAACCATGCTGCAGATTTCTATATGAAACTCTTTGTATTGAATTAAGCTTATATAAGAAACCCTTTCAACAATGTCTCTATGAGGTACGTAGAGTCAATTATATTGCTAAAAAAACAGATACATAGTTATTAGCTCTTCATAGTAGGCATTCATGTAGTTCAGTTTTCGGTTAGTTTGGTTCAACATAAATCTAATCGAATTAAACCGATAAAGTTTGGTTTCGTATTTGGTTAGTTTCATTTTTGAAAATCATACTGAAATTTTTGATTTTGGTTATATTTTAGTTAAAATTTCGGATAAGTTCGATTAATTCGGTTAGTTAAGCTTGAAATTTGGTTAATTTAGTTTGAAATTTGATTAGTTCGACTTGGGATTTTGATAAAGTTTGATTATCTTTTTATTTTTAAAGAAAGAAAAACATTTAATTGCCGAACCGAATCGAATCCGAAATCCAAACTTTAAAAAAAACACCAATTATATTGCTAAAGAAACAAAAACTTAGTTATTATCTATTCCTAGTTCATCGATTAAGCCAAGATCATGCATGAAGAACGTTTTCTCACGATATATTATGGTTCTATCTTCAACTCGGCCAAGACACCATAAATGTCATTTCAGGGTAAGAGTCTTTCATCCCTGCTATTTCCCACACAAATTCAAATAACCTCAAGGCTCTATCTAACTGCTTGATCCCTCTCCCCAACATCTTCTCATCCCCTGAGGTCAAGATCCTCCGCATGCTTAGGCTAAAGAACTCACTCTTCTCCTTGTATAAATTAAAGTTGTAATGTAGGAGAAAAAAAAAGTTGTAATCAGTGTTGTCTTAACCAATATAATAGCCCTTGGCGAAACACAAAACATAAACTCTTTTATAAAAATATTCTCTATATTTTCTTTCACTGTATTTCTTTTAATTTGGGCTATAACCAGAGCCGGTCCTACAACTTGTAAAGCTAGAAGCAAATTTTTAAAAGTTAGCTGTTTTATAGTAGATTCGAACCCAAGTTACTGAGACAACCCAGATTACTAAGAGAGGGTTCTAGCAAACGAAATTATACCACTACACCAAAGGGAAATCTTGATAAAAATGGCCGGATTTTATACATAACTCAATCACTGGAAGCCTCTGCTTCATTTGCTTCTACCAAAGGTATACTCTAGCTCTAACGCCTGAAACAAATAGAAAAACAACAAAAAAAAAATTATGGATTTTTTTTTGATTATTTAACAAATTGAAATAGACCTTGAATAAAAAAAATGGACCCATAGACTCATGGCAAATGCCCATGTTGCTATGGATAAGAGCTGGCACTGATTGTAATGTAAGAACATCTGTAAGTGTAAAAAAAAAGTCTAGCGATTTGGAAGAAGAGAAGGAAACTTTCAAGGTAACAAATGGGCCGTATTGCTGTTTTTTTTCCTTGTTGTAATCCTTAAACCAGGGTAATGATATCTCTACACTATTATTTCACACGTCAATTTCTTACATGCCGCATTCATTTTTACTACGGTTAACTTTATAAAGTAAAAATAATATATTTAATTTTCCTTATTAAAAATTGTATTTACTTATTCTTTTAAATAATTTTATTTAGTTTAATTTTAATTTTATTATAAGTAACACATATATAATAAAAAGGAAACATTAATACTAGTTTAAAGTAATATGTATGTATCTTTAATATATAACTAGATCATAACCCGCCCGACTGGGCGGGTCTTTGTTTTTATGGTATATATAACATTTCAAAATTACAATTTAATGGTGCCAATTTTACTAAGTAATAGTATATTGTTTAAATATTGTATTTCATTATTGTATTGTGTAACATGGGCGTCTTAAAATATTGTGACCCGTAAACATTTTAGTAATATTTTAAAAAGTTTTTTGACTAAATTTGGTGTAAAGTTATATACACTAAATAATTTATTCAAATTTTTAATTTAATTTTTAATGAAGAATTGGAAGGCTAATATATCACTTTTAAAAACTTATAAGAATAGTCAATATAAATTATATAAATAAAATATATATTATTCTTGATTTATTCTAAATACATTTAAAACATGAATACATATATGTACAAATAATTTTTAGAAGTAAAGTAATATAAATGATAGAAAATCCAAAAACAATAATAATGGTACCTTGGGCCGCAGTAATCTTTAGTATAATAAATAAGCCCATTAAATTTGTATGATATCCATATTTCCAATTAAATTTTTAAAATTTTCTTATTCATGTTTCCAAACACTTTATTTTTGTACTTCAGCTTTAATAGTATAGACTAGATCTCGATCCACACAACCGTGCGGCTATTTTAATATAAAAATATTTGAAATTATATAATATTTTTTTCATTTTAAATTAGATAATGTTTTGAAATATAAGATATTTTGAGATTTTAAAGTATATTTTGAGGTTCTAAGGTTACGTTTAATTTTATTAGAAACTGTTAAATCAATAAAATTTTACTGTCTTTTTAATAATTGTTGAATGATTTTAAAAATTATATCTTTAAAATTATTTTTAAAAGGTGTAAATTTCTTAACTTTGTGTAATGATCCAAAACATCATATATTAAAAAGCGAATATAGTAAAATTTATCAATAAATAAATATAATTTGATTATGTATACAATCCCATTTTATAATAATATTTATGTGGCTTATAATATTATTAATAAATTTTTTTATAAATTTTTATTTTTTAACAATGTCAAAAACATTATTATGTAACATTACTAATTTATATATTTTATTTTATTTCTAAATATGAAATATATGTAAAAATTAAATTAAGTTGTACCTACATAACACATAAACAAAATTTTGGGATATTGTTAAAAGTATTTTACATAATTTTTATTTTTGTTATAAATAAAAAAATGAATTAAAATTTTAATTATATTTTATGATAGTTAAAATTTTAATCAAATAATTTTTGTAAACTATATCTTGAATAGATTCTAGGATATTTAAAAGATTTTGTTAGAATTTTCTTAAAACAATTTTTTTCTATTTCAAATAAAAATTAAAGATATGAAAATCACAAAAGTAATGTTTATATAAAAAATAAATAGTATTCATTTTAAAACATTATCTTAAGCATATATATTTTCAGAATAATAAAATATTTATTTTATATCTACGTTTTCTTAGATGATCACAAAAAAAAACATAAAGTGAGTTATTTTTTTGACTAAAATATTTGATAATTACTATTATTAAGATGATTTATTCATTTTACATATTAGTTTTTTTATAAAGAAACCATCCACACTTTCTTTACATTTTTATCAGACTACACCAATATCTAGAAAACTTTAAACTATTTTATTTATATAACCTGGTTTTCAAAAGGGATAATTTGACAAATACTCTATTTTCAGTTTAAATTTTGAAATTTACACCTGTTATTTTATTTTTGAAAACTACATCTTATTAAATGTGAAAAGAGAATTTTATCCATTTATATATATTTTTAAGAAGTAAAACTAAATTCGAAAATAACAAAGTATTATAATTATTTATATTTAACATCAATCTATGTTTGAGATGAATGCGTTCTATTTTTATTTTAAATTTTTAAATAACAAGGTTTATATTCTTGGTTTTAAAAATAACAATGATATTATGAAACAAACGAATTATGATGTGGTGTACCTTTATTAAGAAGTTTATCTGTATAAACTATTAATTGTTTTAACCTCAAATAAACAAATTTGCACAGCAACACTAACACAAATTGGGAATCACGTCATTACTTACATACATATACATTCTTCTTCTTTTTTTTCTTTGCAAAAGAACATATACATTCTTCTGTACGTAAATCATTTTATATCAAGTTTGCTTCTTTTTTTTTGACATCATATCAAGTTTGCTATATATCCAAATTTGTTATGAGAAAGTTTTGTTATCTTTCGTATATTTTGTATCTCTGAACTTTGAAGAGAAGATATGATATGGATAACTCTAAATAATTTAATAAACTATAAGTAATATACTTTACTCTAATGAATAAAATCTTTGTTTTTGCTTAATATTTACTTTGGTTTTAATTTATTTTTTCTTTATATTTTGACAATCTAAGATACACATATTTAAAATACCCACGCAAATATAATTCTTATTATTAGTATTAATTAAAATAAATTTTAACATATTATTGTTATATTCATTTATGTAATTTTGAATCAATCAAATTTATTTTTTTCTATTTAATTTCAAAACAATATATTTAAGATTACATAATCTTACTATCTAAGATAAAACCAACCTAAACATAAATAAAAGATTAATCGAATTTATCTATTTAGAACAAAACAGTTATAGTTGAATCCAAAGAAGTTGATGCAATCTAATATACCTATGTAATAGCTGAATAACCTATAAATACAAGAGAATCACCTAGTTTTGGTTGTATTTTTGTTCTTAATTTTCAAATGAAAATCATTTTTTAATAAACAAGCAATAGTTTAGAAGTCATATTAGACCATGTTATTAATTATTTGATTGTTACATTAACCAGTAAAATATATATTATTTTCAAAACATCTTAATAATTAATAAATATATAAATAATAAATTAATTTAAATATAACAAAATCTGTTGAAAAAATGTAACAAGATCTTATCAAAAAAAAAAGAAATATTTTTTATTAAATAAGTATTTCTTTATTTCATTATTAGATATAATTATAATTAAAACTAAAATATAAATCATATATTTAAAAAATTTAGTTATATATTTGTAAAATGAAAAAAATGCCGTGCGGATGAAACTCTAGTGCTAATTAAACTACCAATCGACTGGTGCGGATGCTTCGATTGTTTTCGGTAGAATTATACTATACATATAGTTACATACGTGATACGGCTATCAAAAGGAAAAAAAAAAAGAAGAGTTCTCATCCAAATTATTGAGAGTGCATGGTCCTTCCATGACAACTGCAAACTTTGCATAAAGATATAAATCATTAGGAAGAATGTGAAAAAAAAAAAAAAAAAAAAGAAGGGCTTAGAAAGATGAATATGCTTTATTTCATGTGGGTTAAAGAGAAATTTTAAAACTTTTAAAAAAGTTTCTGCAAATTTCTCAAAACTTATGGACTTATTATTTTAAAAAAAATTGTAATGATATTTTTTAATTTTTGTTTTGTATAAATGGATAAAAAGTTATCTTTGCTATTGCTTTTTGTTACAAAAAATGACTCAAACAGTATAAATTAATTCTTGTTTTATTTACCAAGTGATTTACACTTTACTAGAACGGTCATCGAGGGGTCTCTCTCATATGATCACTAAAAGAAATTAACAGTAAGTGCTTAGTTTGTATACTTTATTTACTCTCCTACATATGTTTTAATTCATATGGATTATGAAACTGAAACTATGATGAAAGCTATATGAAGAAGATGTACACATCTATCCTGACTCTTCTAAATAGATGTTTCATCTAATATTCTCAGCCAACACTTAAAGTATTGATTTTAATTTGATAATGATTTGTAATTTCATCATTTATAAGTAGAGATTTTTGAGTAATTGTGAAATTCTGTATTTGATTCATTTTTTAAAAATTATTTAATTGATTAAGTTGTACGAACATGACTATGCTAGTTATAATTTGTGTTTACCATGATTCTAACTGGTGATAACTTGAGGAATGTTAACAAATATAAAAAAAACGAAGAGGAATAAAATAATAAGAATGAGTGGGAATGATTGTTCTTTCTTAAATTTGGTGAGTAATAATTTTGCTCTATTATTCCTTATAAATGGTGTATTTTTATAGGAATGATAAAGAATTGAATATTCTTCTTCATTCCCTTGATCACCATTTAACATCCATTGTAATATAAAATAGATTTACTTAACTAGTTTTTTTCTTCTTTCTTTGCCTAAAATACATACAGATATATATTCTATGTCATATCTAAGTTCAGTTAGTAATTAAATAATATCACTAAATATTAGTTAGGTTGTGATCTTGGTTGAGCTTGTCTTTAAGAATGTATATTTATTTACCAAGTACAAACCAAAGCTTCAAAGGGCAATGCATGACAGTAATGCAGTGCATCTAAATCGAATATAAATTATGGTTTTGTGAATTCAATATGAGAATGATGCATGACAATATGGCCTAAGACGTACTTTCACTTCACTTAAACCAAAGAAGAATAAAATGATGAATTAACTTAAAAGTGGGGAAAGCCCGAAAGATTCTTTAGTAAAAGCTAATTAGTGTGCAACCCTTTAACGATAAAAAAAAAATTAATTAAAGCCAAGCAATGGATTAGTAGCAGACATTAAAGACGGGTTGTCTTCTTTTTTGACCCTTTGTTGCTAATCTTAAGAAGACAACTCTACGAGGTCAAATGAATGAAGAATCCTATGCAAAATGCAACGTGTATGTAGACACACCTACGCACCCTCATACTATCTTAGAGCATCCGCATTAGGAGTTCTAAGGGGGAGTTCACACGTTTTCCGAGAGGAACAGTGATGAACCCGGCGCGCGTGGATTCGTCGTGGTGAACCCGGTTCGTCACGGGTTCGCCACGTGGCGAGCTGTGATTCGCCAAATTTTTTTTTTTTTTTTTTTTGAAAAAGTACAAAATAAAAAAAAATATATATTTTTTATTCCTATGAACCTCTCCCCATCAGGTTCACTGATGGGGATGCTCTTAGGACACTAGAATGAAGTGGGCATGATAATCAAATCTCCCGTAATTAACAGAATAAAAATATTGACTCGAAACATCCATTAATTTGTGAGAAAAAAAAATCACAAAATTAACGAACTTGGTGACTTGCCATTCAGGTAGTTGATTAGTGACAACATGATTCTCTGATAACTATTCTTATTCTAAAAGAAAGGAACTCGGATAGTTTTCTTTTCAATGTGGTGGTCAACTAATCATCCTCAAGCCACATTATAATAGCAATGACATGCTTCATTTTTTATCCAACTTTTAAAATTTCAAATTTTAGAATCATTCACTCCCTTTTTGAGGCATTGGACTGAACAAAAGGTTTTGCTGTGGTCCATGCATGCATCTATTCATTTCAAACACTTGCTCGAATTGTTGTTTGGTTTAACGTAAAAAATCACCATCCCACAAGTTTATATTCTGAAAACTATAAGGAATTAAGGATACATCAATACAAACGTACATAAATTAGTAGGAGACCGATTTCAGAAGTCAGAACATAGCACTTCAGAGTTTTTCTTATTTGCTTACATTCTAACATAACAGGACAATTAGACAAAGGTCCTCCACTCTTCAGTACTTTATCTCTTCTAATGCAACCTGCATCAAAAAAAAGCCAAAGGATATGTTAAAATAATTTTTCAATAAGAGGTCTCATGCTTTAAATTAAATGAAATTTGTATCTCTTTTCGAACATTTGTTGTTAACGTAGGAAATATCATATTAAAAAGTTCCACGTAGTTAGTTTAATTAGATCCAAAATATATATGGCTTGGACGGAACCATATCTTTTTTGAATATGTAGAGATCGGGTCTGGCTAGAATATATATATATATATATATATATATATATATCATCATCATATAGCATATAATATTTTTTAGTATTAATGTTAAGAACTAGCATATAAAGTTTATGAAATAACGTACGTACGTATTACAGCTCATGTAAGAACTAGCATATAAAGTTTATGTGGCTTGTGATTGAAAATTTAGAAAACGTCGTATATACTGAAGCAACAACAACAGAAAATATTACTTGAAGATGATTAAGAAAATTAGGACTAGTAGGGTGGAATATTGGTGACAGGTTCCCTTGGGGCGTTGCACGTGAAACACTCTGACCTGCTTGCGAAGTTATGTTCATTGCATCCTGGCCTATAAGTACAAAACCAATCAGTTGCTACAATAGTTTTATAAATATAAAACATTAATGTTTATATACGAATATAATCTAAAACTATAGTTTTAGCTAACGTAAGCCTACGCCATGCATGATATTATATAGATATACGTGATGAAGGCAGGCACACATGTACATTTTCATGAACAATGCACATGGAACAAATAAATACCTGGGACAAATCCAATCTCCCGATTTCCAAGGAGAGCGGCCCATGCCTCCGCCACCACCACTGGTGCTACCAAAACCATAAAGGCCACGTCTTGGACCATCATTCATGTCTAGAAACCCGGCGGCAGCCGAGCGTGAAGACTCATCTTTTGCGGCACCACACTTGAAACAGCTCGACCTACTTGCAAAATTGTGAGTCCCGCAATTTTCCAAGGCTGCAGTACCAATCACCGGGTCTCACGTCAGGCCCGGTGTTGAAAGCAAAAGCGTTGCTGATAGGGCGGCTTGCAAAACCGCTGACTAAGTCGCTAATGCTTCCCGGTCTGGGCTCTCTGCATCGTTGGCAGGACTCTCTTCTTTGGAAGTTGAGGTGGCTACATGATAGGCAGTTCCAGTCTCCTGGCCTATTCATCTTCTTCTAAGCCCCCTATAGATAGAAAAAATATAATATTACACAATATTAGAGGCATATATATGCACAAGTAGGTGTAGCCTAGTATTTGAATGATTACCTGGGGATTTTCGTTGAAAACGATAAGGAGAGTAGAAGTGATGAGATTGTGGGTGTTGGAGAGTGTTAATGTGATACTGGACTGTCTCATATATATACATCGGCAAAGCAAAAGGCCCTTCTTTAAACTAAGTTTTTTTTTTTGACAGATGTGTATTTCATATACATCAATATATATATCTAGTTTTAGACACCCAATTAATTTAAAAAATTTATGGGGATATATATTGAGTTTTCATTATAACTGCGTGTATGATCAGTTGTAAACAACAAAAACCTGTTTGGAAATTATGTTGTACACGTTAATCCAATTTTTCTGATTAACTCCCTTAAAATCCACCAAATAACTAGGTCCATGGGTGTATAATATGATCTCGTGCGTGTGTCAGGAGTAAAAAAGATGCATCAAGAAGAAACATATAAAGCAAAAGTTGCATGGCAATTGGCAACAGTTTCAAAAACGTATCGGTTCCATAAACCGCGGAAAATTAAACATTAAAAGAATATTTACTCTTAAGTATATTTTTCAGTAAGTTTTAAACTTCCATTTATTTGTTAGCAGTATCAAGTTACTCGGTATAGACATCACTTCAGCATGTATTCGCAGTACCGGTCCTGACATGGGAAAGACCAGAAGCAATTTTCAAAAAATTGGCCAGTTTTATAAGAACGTTTATATACTATAATAATAATTTTCTTATAAAAAAGGTTGAATTTTTCAAGTATTTTTTGAGGACCGGAAGCGGTTGCTTGTAATGCTTTCCCTTAGGGCCGGTACTGTGTATTCGTGATTCTCAGCCAAAACCCAAGAAAAAAAAATCAAATATTTAGATAAAGGAAAACAACAATCATTGGATGGGAACGTATAAAGTTCTTCTTCAGTGTTTGAATTTCGACCATTTTTGTGCATTTGAATTTGTTAAGCATACGAAACACACACCATTTCATATATAAACCTAGACATTATCGCTTATGCCTTATGCTACACATCAATCGGCTTTATTTACCGCCATTCCTCCTTTTCCTCTGCGTATCATAAATTAAAATTTTCACCAACTTTTTTTTTTTGCTTAATTTTTTTTCACCATCTTTGAAATAAGAAACGTATCTTATTTTTACAAAGCAAATTTTTTTCTCAAAAGTAGAGGTCAGCTGGGAGATAATAAGACAAAAACCACAGTCGGGTGTATGCATGTGGAATACCACGAGTGATTAGTAACTTAAAAAAAAAAAAAATTTTAAATATAAATTCTCAAAATATCATAAAACGTTAAAATTATACTAGATTTTAAGAAATCGATAAACCAGTTTTGGTGCGAATTTCCATTTTTTTTTTTGAAAAAAAAATCCCCTCAGACTCTGCGAAAACTGTATAATATTAATGGTAAACTAACATGAACTTCTAGTCCAAGTGGTTTATGCACAAGGTTTCTGCCTTATAAAAACTAGAATTAGACCCTGGCTACTCCAAGATTGGGCCAAAAAAGTTCAATTTGATTCGTTCAAAATAAGGTGAATTACCTTATATATTTTGCATCACGATTCAAACTGATATTGGAAGTATATTAAGCTTATGGCACTGAACCATATGTTTTAGGTAAAACTATTTTTTTATAAGAAAGTATCCTGGCCCCATCATGTGGTCCAGACTAAAGACCGATCATTGCGTGGACGTACACCCAAAGATGATACTAACTAGGTGAACACGATCTTCGGTCTCGGGCGCTGGAGTGTCCGCATGTAAATCCCCTAGTGACCGAGTTTCGAACCCATGTGACGGTCGTGAGCCTTTACCACTTGGGCTAGAAGCCCCGGTTGTTTTAGGTAAAACTTTATTAATGAAGGTGCAATTAATCCTAAACATTGATGCATAATCCCTTTCTATACATCCACTCGCACTATATTGTAGTATAATTTTTTTGTAATTCACTAAAATCATGAAGTTATTTATCTTAAGTCTTTAGTGTATGATGTTTATGTACACTTCTTCAAAGCGTTTAGTAACGTGGTCCTTTGTACAGTTGTATTGTATACGAGGCTAAACCTTATCAATAAGTCTGCATATATAAAAGCTAACTCGAAACTGTTAAAAAACATAGTGGGGGATTAAAAGAAGTACGAACTATATAATGTAGGAGAAAACAGACGAATCATCATAATTAGTAAACCCACCATATTGTCTCGGGGAATGGTAAAGAAAAGACTGATGACGAACACAAAAAGAAAAGAGATTCGATTCTCTTTGGGAAATGCTTCCATGCATCAGTTATATCCCCACGTAAGTATTTTATGAGTACGATCAATGGAGCCCAAGGATACTCGAATACATCATAGGCGAAACAAGAAAAACTTATAATATTGTAAAAAACTTTCTTGTTTTCCTGCATAAAAACATTCTTGTGCTGATGCTATATTACTTGATTCAATTAATATTAAAAGAAAAAAATGTAAAGTATTAATTAATAATTTACATTTCATATTTTCCACAATTATATTCATAAATAGGAAAATCTAAAACAGATACCTATAAAGTTCAAGATGGGTAATGTATATATTCTTGCACTGATACTATATAACATGATTTAATATTAAAAGAAAAAATGTAATATATTAATTGATAATTTACATTTCATCTTTTCCACAATTATATTCATAATTAAGAAAAATCTAAACACAGACATATTTAGTTCAAGAAGAGTAATGAATATTTGATTTAAACCCTTAGTTAAAATTTTAAAAATCTAAACATTATGGTTCCAGTCTGGTTTTTGCGACATGACAACATGGAATAACAAATAAGTGAATAACCATGCATCTGTCTTCTAAATTAGGCCAAATTGTAATGTATTGTCACCTTTGTATTATGGCCCAGTTTTTAAATGGGACTTTTGTAAAGAAACGTTGTATACACTTTTTTTTAAACAAATTTTATAACTAAACAATAGTTACACAGATAGGAAAAGAACTGGTCTTTTCTCATGATGTATAAACAACCATTTCTCATTTCTCCTTCCCATTGTTTTTGCAACATGATAAACATTGCATAACCATGCATCTGTCCTGTAACTCAAGCCTATTGGTAATGACTTACCTTTGTATACTACTATGGCCCAGTTTAACAATAGGCCTTTTTACAGCCCATTAACAATTAATGAATCAACAAAAGTTGTGTTCCGTACGAGTCAAAGTGTTCAGACAGTGACCAGTTTGCTTTTAAAGCGTTTTCTCTCTCTCTCTCTCTCTCTCCTTTCCCTATCCTCAGGCAGTTCAGTGGACTTTTAGAGAGAAGCAGCCACACAACTAGAGGAGAAGCTTCTTTTACTCTTTAACGGTGCGTGCAATTTTCACCTTCTAAAGTCTTCGGTAACGTTTACCTTTAACCATTTACTTGCATCTTACGCATTCTCTGTCCGTACACATTGTCTGCTTTCTATACACTTGGGGACTTAAGAGACAGCCAAAATAAAGATTGGTTTTAGTTCTTTTTAAAGTTTTTTTTTTTTATTACACATCTTTGTTCTTCACTTACAAACCCTAGTTTTCAGAACAGATCCCGTTTTTGAAGCTGAAAGGAAAATGACGCTCAACAGTGTTTTGGATTTGCTCCAAGAGAATGTGGAGAAGCCTCGCTTCTGCAAGTCTCTTCCTTTAGGAGAAAACTGGAAATCTAAATCCATGGTAACTTACTTTTATTCTCAGTTTCTTCAAGTAAAACAGAACTTCTGTGATGTTTACACACTGTTCTTTGACTTTTTACATTGACTTTTTTTGTACATTAAACATGTCCATAGTTGAGTTGACTTAGTACTGTCCCTTTCTTGTTAAAAAAAGCTCAGATCTTTGTTTCTTTAAAGAAACTCTGAAGAGATCTTGTTCTGTTTTGGAAAGTTATAGCTTTAAACTGTTTTGGATTTCTTGGTTTTATTATGTAGAGGATTATTCCTGAAGAGTTTGTGAGAAGAACGAATAGTGCATTTGAGCACGGGCTAGTGTTTAGTGTTTCTTGGGGCAATTCATGGCAACTCTGGCTCCAAAGAGACAAGAATGGTCTGTTTATGGAAGAAGAAGATTGGGATGAGTTTGTTGATGACAACTTGTTAGGTCCAAATGATATCTTGTTCTTCACACATGAAGACACAATGTTTACTGAAGTGAGAATCTATAAAAAAGATGCACACTTCTTCAAAGAGATCATCTCAGCACCTCTTGCAGCTGAGCCACAGACTTCTTCTCACCAGGAAACCACTTCCTTTGCTTCTGCATCTGCCTCAGGTAAGACCATTAGTTATATACTTTCTCAAACTCAAAACTATTCTGCTCTAACTTTGATTCTTTTTGTTTTTTTTGTTTGGATATTTCAGCAAGTAGAGTGAAACAGAGCAGTTCCTATGTCCAAAACCCTGAGAAGTACCTCATAAATCCCAAAAACCCTTACTTTGTGAAGACATTGTCCAAAAAGCTCGATGTTCTGGTAATAATAATAGGCTTTTTTAGTTTTATGTCTGTTACCTATGAAGCTAACACTTGTTTTGTTTTTCTTCTATGTTTGTGGCAAATAGTATGTGCCTCATGTGACGATTCAGAAGTATGGTTTGAAGTTTGGTCCTCATAAGTCTCCCATGCATTACCTTCTTCCCAGAGAAAGACACGAGGCTATGACTAAGCACTACGGCAATCATAGCACTTGTTTCAATGGCTGGGCAGCTCTATGTAAGAAGTACAACAAGAAAGAAGGAGACAGTGTTGTTTGTGAACTTGAACGCTCTGGTGGTGTGGTTACTGCTGTTAGAGTGCATTTTGTAGATGAATGAAGAGATCAAGAGACCTCTCTTGTCTCTTTCCTATGAGTTAAGCTTCCTATAAGTGTTTACCAACTTACTATTGTATTGCAACAGTTAAGTAATTGTCTGTGTGGTACTACTGTAATTTAAGAGATTTTTTTAAAAAAAAATTTAAGATCTTTCTTGTGACTTTGTTTCATAATTCATATAATCTCTCCTTTTACAGCCATATCTTTTGAATAAATAAAAAAACTCATGATTAAGAGATCATGGTATTAGTGTAATTTAAGATCTTTAAAAAAATTAATACTCCAATTTAAGATCTTTCTTGTGACTATGTTTCATATAATCACCCTCCTTTACCTTTTGAATTAAATAAAAAAAAAACACCAAAAAGACAATATTATAAAAAATAAAGCCCACACACTTCACTTCTTGTAATAATTTAAGATCTTTCTTGTGACTATGCTTCATGTTTGGTATAAATTAGGATGATGTATTTGTTTTATTGATCTTATAAGGAAGATGTGTACAGTAGTGATTTGAATTTAGTTTATATTATATCAAACTAGATATCAAAGCAGTTTTTGTAATGTTTTTTTTACACATAAGTCAGAGTGAAAAGTTCCCTTGCAAAGCTATTGCTCTCTCTCCAGCTCTTGCAATGGTGGAAGCCTGAGAGTCACGCTCCAGAGTTCCTTGATCTCCTGCTGCCATAAACCATTATCTAGCTAAACACCAGTAATGTAAGCAACCATTAACTGGCTTACCGTGTCACCACGCGGTGGCAGTTATCAGCTGTAATGGACGTAGTCTCCTTATGACTTTTGTTATAGATATTTCAGTGTTGACAACTATAGGTTGACATACTCTATGTCGATAAATCCGGTTCCTTTTGTTAGAAGGAGAGATTTGTAGAGAGAGCTGGGTTCTGTGATGATGGATTACATCAACTATTTTAAATAAAACAATTCTTTATACGAGTTTAATTTAATTCAACAAAAATTCTTGCTAAAGTTATCACTTGTGAACTTTTTCATATTAATACACTAATTTTTAGATATAAAAATTGTAAATATTTAGGTTAATTATTAATAAATGGATATGGGAAACTAAAAACAAAAAGACAGAAATTTTCATCTCAAAATTTAATAAATGCAACTTTTAATGTAAAAAATTAAGAGATGCAAATTTTCACATTAAGACACTGATTTTAAATATAAAACAACTAAAATATTTAGGTGAATACTAATAAATGGATATGAACATGTAAAAATGAAAAGACACATATAAATTGACCCAATACATGTGAAAGATTGTATCTTTCCATTATTAAGAAAACTGAAATTAGTTAAACAAAAAGGCAACTTTTAAGAAGAAACAACACCACACCTTTCACACTAATTGAGATTGCTATTATTACTCCCTCCGTTTCAATTTAGTTGTCGTTGTAGACTAAAATTTTCATTTTAAAATAAGTATCTTTTTATAATTTTAATGCAAAATTTATTGATTTTATTTATTATTATATTTTTATATTGGTTGAAATGTGGTTAAGTATATAGATAATTGTCTTTTTTTCTAGGAAATATGCAAAACTAAATATTTTTTTAATCTATGTGTAAAAACTCAAAACGACAATAAATTGAAACGGAGTGAGTAATAATATGCATACACTTTTATTCTTGTAAATTTGTTAAAAAAAAAAAAAATCCATAAGGCTTACATACGTAAGAAAATGGCGACTTTCTTTTACATTCTCATACAAGAAAATACAATATAAGCAGAGGCAGATATAACCCTAAATAAACCTTTCCTTTTACAACCATATATTTTAAATAAAATAAAAAACACACCAAAAAGACAATATTATAAAAATAAAGCCCAAAATACTTCATTTCTTGTAGTAAGGTTTCATTCATCTACTTACGAGCGCTTATAAGCTTGACGTCGTCAATCACAGGCCCACATAGAGAGGAGAAATCATCACTCCTCATAGCATAGAAAGTACTGTAAAACATAACTCTAGTTCTTGTCGAAACCGCAACAAACCGGATAGAAGCTCGTTTAAACCCTCCAGTGCCACGTGACTCGTAAGGTACTTTAAGCGTATCTTTCCCAGCAAAAGCTTCAACCACCATTGATCCTTTGCAAGCGTTGTTGGCGTCTCCTACCGCAAAAGACAGGACATAAGTCTTCCCAATGATGGTCCGAGCAACTTGAGCGATGGCGCTCTCTTTTCCGGCTACAAGCTCAATGGCTCTGCGACCTTGTGGGATTGAGAAGTGTTCTGTGTCTACGTACTTGACGGCTTTGAGAGACTCGACCATCCAACCTGGTAGAGGAGAGTGGTCGTCTTCTATGAAGGGTGGGATCAAAACTCCTGTTGTTGAGCCTGGTAGTAGTAGTGGACCTTCTTCAAATCCTCCGTTCTTCAAAAGGTTCTCTGTCACATCAAACATACAATAGCTTCATAACATATGATATTAAGAGTCAAATTATACATGTATGTAATATATTCGTTTGTATACACATACATAAGAGTAGATGAGAGTATAAACACTTGTATATATTTACAGTTAAATGCTCTATAGAGTACTAGCGTCTTACTGGATTATTCCGGGTAGTAGCAATTTTTTCTTTACCAAATAGTATTACATATTTGAAGTTTTTGTGTTTTATTAAAAAATTGTTGAGATTTTAAAAATTAATTATACTGGAAAAAACTGGAGAGTAAAACATCATCACCTAATTAAAAAGAAAAAAAAATTGATGGTGAAGATGATATAATTAAACTAGTCATAATTCACTTTGCCGTTAATTGATTTAGATCGGTTTAGACCAATTTAAATTCGGTTTTACAAAATTCTTTTCAGTCGATTTTTAGAACATTTATCCTGCGTATGTGCATACAAATGAAATGAATGTACTTATGTCGATTATATACATGCATATAATATTCAAGAATCAGACAAAACAGATTATATAATTGTAATTACTGTTGGATGTCAAAAAAAAAAAATTGTACTTACTGTTGGTTGGTCGAGGAGGGTAAAGAGCCTTCATGGCGATACCATCAATGAGTGGTCCACAAGCTGGATCTTCTTCTTGACCTGGATTATGAATCACTATCTCTGCAATCTCACTCTCAGCCTGAAACGCCCAAGAATATAGATCCCATCCACTGCTACTATACACCGTTTGCACTGGAATCACCCCCGAGTCAGGTGCCACAGAGATGTTGAGCCTTTCGTCCTGAGCACACGTCCTAGCAGCGCTGAAAGTGAGTGAGTAATACATTCCTTTCACCACTTTGAGTCTTTGCTTGATGGATGCTTCGTTTCCTAGCCTGACTGCGAATTTTCCAGCGGGGACAACGAGAAGCATGTCTCCTTGTGTGTGTCCTGAGCTTATGTACTCGACGAAGCCTGTGACTTCCCAGTTTGGGATTGCCATCTTGTTTAACACTTCGGTTCCTTTCATGTCGGATGGTTTTGGTCCTAGCTCGAAATCACCGTTTGGTAACATCCCTGCGAATTACCATTTTGCACTTTTTGGTATTAGCAATTTTTAAAAATAACTAATTAGAAGAAGGAAGTATAACACATTAACATGGATTAGCTTTGTTGGTGGACCTAACTCAACTTCTTTTATTGGATATGTCCAAAAACTTTATTGCAGTGTGTTGTGTAATAAACAAAGTTACAACTGTAATTTTATATCCGCTTATAAATAACAATATCTCTATCCTAATCATAGTTAACAACTTGGACAATAATAACATTAACTATGCTTTATTTTTACACCAAAAAAAAACTATGCTTAAATTTCTTTATATCAGTATATATGAATTGGTATAATGGTGTATGTATAGATGTAAAAGTAAAAGTTACCGTCACGGAAGGAGACACCGGCAGAATTGGCGGTGGTGATGAGAAGAATGAAGAGAGACACGACGGTGACGCCTCCCATTGTGTAAAGGAACGCCTAAGAGAGAATGAGACAAGTGTTTAGTGTACAAAGTGATTAAACAAAGAGACTTGGGGCAGTTGTTTATAAGGGGCTGGAGCTATCAAAGTGCCCTTGGAGGTTGCTCTATATCACGAGTGTGTGCCACTGATCCCACGTGGGGTTGTGACCTCACTCCTTTGCAGAGATTTGGTATCTTATTGACATATTGGTTGTACTTCCAGGAACTGAAATTAATGTAATAATTTTTAAGTTAATATTTTTATATTATAGTTCTATGACTCCTAGTCCTATCCCGGTGACTAGGTAAGACTGAAAACTGACAACCAAAGAAAAAAAACTATACGTGATTATTTAACGATAATCTGTTCTTATCCACATGCCATTGACACATGTAAACAACACTGAAGTCTAAAGATTATGAAAATTATTGAGATGTTTTTTAGTAATTTTACATCTGAATCTACATGACATATCTGATTAATTATGATAACTGTAGAGAAGGCCACTCTTGTCGTTTGATAGAATGTCGGTGGAGAAATAACAGAGGAGAATCATTTATCGTGGCATGGCATGTGTTACACTTAAAAACAAAGTTCACATGAGTTTTATTTTCCATTGTTGTGAGCATTTTCTTAAACTCTTTTGTCTTCTTTTTAATTCGTCGTTTCGTGCGTTTTTTTTTAGAATTACAGAAATGAAAATGGAATAAGCTAAGCAATGAAGGGCGCCGTTCACTGGCTACTAATGCGGTTTCCAGGGTCGGCCTCAAAAATCCATAATTGCCTCTTATTCTCATCTTTATCAGCCCAAGAAAGGGCAACTCAATTTTCTTTTTGTAACAAGAAAGGGCAACTAATTTGTGTGCCAATTCAATTATTTTAATTTCTAAATAAAGGAATCTATTCCTCCAAAATTATGCAAGATAAATGAATATTAATCACAGGCATAATACTAATAAACTTTTTTTTTTAATACCAATAATGTAGAATTGTAAGAACATCCGTTTGTAAACGGATGTGGAACTGACCCAAGTATATAAAGTTAGTATAAAATAAAGTTTAGTTACAAAGAAAATGATAACAATTTTTTTCTTTCTAACAAACCGTTATGGTTAATATTCACTTCTTAGCGTCTCTCACGTGTTCAAGCTACTGACCAATGAAAAACATTGATTAAGATTTCGTGAGCAAAGTTCGAACTTAATATGTAAAATGTTGAAATCTGAAAACAAAGCATAGTGAGAGAGGTAAACAGACGAGAAACGTTTGGAAACGTTGGGTGGGGACCTTATAGTAAAAAAAGAAGGAAGAAGGCGCAAAAGGCAGGGTCATATGCATTTGTCGCGCCTAATCACTCCGGCCTGTCCATACACTCACAAACTATCCGTAACCTACCTTTTAGTAGTATGTAGGTTAATCATACAGTAAACACAAATATTGTTTAACGTGTGTTTTGTCCACATTATTACATTGCTGTATTAAATCAATGAATATAATTGTGTAGTTCATAAGCCAAAGTTTATAATGTAGATGAGATGGCTTTATACTGAACCATCAGTTCTTAATAATTGGCAACTGTGATTACAGACTCTCTGTCAACTGTGATAAAAAGACTAGGAGGGAGTAACTCACATTTAATTCAACATTTTGTTTTCCTTTTAATTAATTCATTTATGATTTAGGCCCCTGTGCTAATGTGACTCACATGGAAATGTCTTCAATAAAACTCAATATCGTTTTCTCCTGACCACTCTATTAAATATTACACTTATCTTATTTTTCTTGTCTACCACCGACTCATTCACCGGACCGTGCAAAACATCGTTGTACATGATTCATGTAAAAAATGTGTAATGTCGCATCTTTGAGTAACTTTGGTAAACATAAACCCTTAACCACATTTTTTTTTTTGGGTTAAATTGTACCAACGACTATGAATATTTCCCTCTTGCAAAGTTGAAATCCATGGATTAAGAAAGCTTATTATACAACCTGAAACATTTACACATCTTATATTATACATTCTTATACGTGCATAAACATAGACCGTACATAGCCATACAAAGCAAATTGTGTGGTAAATCGACGCCTAAAAATTAATATAACAGAGAGATAACTATGGTATGTTTGTTTAAGAGCCCCTTCCTATTACAGAACAAAAGATAGTAACATGCTTAAGGAATGGTTCTCTGGTAGAGAGGTAGAGCTCCCAAAGCCTCTCGCTCAGCTCTCTCCCGCTTCACCTGCATGTGAATCCCTCATGTAATAAGGACTTTACTATATAGAATTTCTCCAACACTAAATATATAGAAAACCAAATTTTATGATATTTGATTTTATTTGAATTTTACTAAGAAAGCAGTAGATGAGTGTGAATAGTTGTTGTGAATCAAATAACATCTGGTGGTTTTCAGGGAAAACAGAGTTGGACTAGTTATGTTTTTGTTATAACATGAGAACTTGCATGTGACTTACAAGAGCCAGCATTTCTTGGAGGTAGCTCCTGAATGGTGTCTGCACTGCCTGTGGTATTACACATAACAAATCATCTCATTTCTCTCTTACAATGCTTTAAAACATGGTTATGATCAAACAAACAACACATAGCTATGGCCTAACTAAAAAAAAAAGCTCTGTCTCACTTAGTTTGAAAACACACCTGGAGATCAGCTGGGAGGTACTCATGTTTCATGGAGAGATCCATTGCACGCTTAAGACGCTGGTTTCGAGCATCAACGACCTCTCTAGGCAACCGGTTAAGCGCTTCCTTAATGTCTAAATCGTACATAGGGTCGTAGAGATCATCGTATCTAAGCCCTAACATTCATTAACATCAAGAATCAAGGACAATAAGCCAACAGAAGAACTAGGGTTCGTTCACAGAAACAGAGAGAAAGAGAGAATGATACGTACCGTATTTGCGGAGGCGGTTTGAGACGGAGTTCATATGTAAACGAGCCAAGAAGTTCTTCTTCGGATCTACTAATCTCTGGAGAAACGAAGACGCCATATCTTCTTCATATGTTTTGCGTTGGAGACACGCTATGTTTTTATTTTTTACCCGGGAAGGAAGTGGAATAGTCGAGAGACATCTACCAAATGGCGACGTAGTGAAAAAGAAAAACGAAACGTGGATCATATGTTGACATTTGAGTGCGTTATGTTAACTTACCAAAATAGCTTTTTTTTCATATCAACTGTTTCCATTATGGAAAAGCCCAATGGACTAACTTACAAGTCATTCAACACATGCCCATCAAAGAAATAAGTCCAGTTCTTGCCCCATTTACAACAGATAAAGATAAAGAAAATAGCTTACTTGTTGTCCTTAATTACTTTCTGGGAGATAGTTTAGAAGTCATTCAACACATGCCCATCAAAGAAATAAGTCCAGTTCTTGCCCCATTTACAACAGATAAAGATAAAGAAAATAGCTTACTTGTTGTCCTTAATTACTTTCTGGGAGATAGTTTAGAACATTTAGGCTATAAATGGTGACCAAAGAAATGAGGAGGAACAATGCATTCCTTAATGTTCCTAAAATAATTTATCATTCATAAGGAATAGTTTTTCCTTTCTATTCCTCCTCATTCCTTTTATTGTAGAGATTTATTAAGCACATTCCCATAATTTTATTCCCATCTATTCTATTCCTATTCGTTCCTGATATTCCCGTGATGGTTACCAGTTAGAGCCTTAGAGATTTGATCAAAAGAAAAAAAAACATTTGGAGATATATAGTGTGATTGGTAGTCGCTCTCCAGCAATAATTACTCTAATCCTAAATCTAGAGCATTTAGAGATAGTGTGATTGGTAGTCGTTGTCCAGCAATAACTGTTATTTGAGAGACTTGATATATGGTTGGTATATATATATCTTTAGTTTTATTTATGTTGTTTTGAAAACTTGGGGGGAGGGGGGGGAGGGAGAATTTCAATTATAGCACTTTTCATGTTTACCATCAACAAATGAACATTTTCAAAAATACATATTTTATTAAAGGATAAAAGACTCTTATATCTTTGTTTTTTATATATATACATAAAATAAATATTAAACCTAACCCCTAAAACATCAATTCTAAACTCTAGACCCTAAAAAGTAAAACCTAAACCCTAAAAATCAACCCTAAACCCTAAAATATCAATTCTAAACCTTAAACCCTAGACTCTAAACTCTAAAAAGTAAACCCTAAACCCTAAAAATCAACAATAAACCCTAAACTATCAATCATAAACCCAAAACCCTAAACCCTAAATTCTAATAGTATTTTGACTATTAAAATTTTAGTGGTAAAGTTGGTTAGTGTAAAGTTGAAAAGTGGTATCTTGAAAGTGTTATTTTTGGCAATTTTCCACGTTAGTTTATAGATTGCGTCCTTATATAAGAAGTGACAATGTTTAATTCATGATAGTGGGTATTTAAAAAAATTAAAGGGAAATTGCCAGAAATAACACTTTCAAAATACCACTTTTCAATTTTACACTAACCAACTTTACCATTAAAAATTTAATAGTCAAAATACTATTAGAATTTAGAGTTTAGGGTTTTGAGTTTAGGATTGATAGTTTAAGGTTTAGTGTTGATTTTTTAGGGTTTAGGGTTTACTTTTTAGGGTTTAGAGTTTAGGGTTTAAGGTTTAGAATTGATATTTTAGCGTTTAGGGTTGATTTTTAGGGTTTAGGTTTTACTTTTTAGGACCTAGAGTTTATAATTGATGTTTTAAGGTTTAGGGTTAATATTTTTTTTAATATTTATTTTATTTATATATATAAAGAACAAGGATTTAAGAGTCTTTTATCTTTTAATAAAATGTGTATTTTTGAAAATGTTCATTTGTTGATGGTAAACATGAAAAGTGGTACCACCAAAGTGGTATAATTGAAATTCTCCCAAAATTAAATTAAACTTTAAATTCTCGACTTTTAACTACTAAATAGAACTTGACCCGCACCCCCGTGCGGATGTTTAATTTAATTTGTGTTCAATGTAAACTCTTAAACCACTGATTTTATAAAAAACAATTATGTTTTGCAATTTACATATAGAATATAATATATTATTTTATAATATAAATATTTAATAATATTTTTTTTCATTTGTACATAATATTATATTATAAATTTTATAACTTGATGTAAGTTGATGTAATTGTACAATTCATATATTAACATGTTATTTTGTTAATTTATTTTAAAATGAGACAACATACTGAAAATTAATTTTTGCATAAGTTTTATATAAATTATCATTAATTTTATGCTAGTTGGTTTTCTTGAAAATTGAACTCTCAAAATTTTATATTTGAGTATAAATTATTTTATATAATATATACTATATATTTTAGTTTGTGCTTTTATTTTCACCACAAAGAAAAAAACCCATTGTAGTTAATTAATTTAAATTGATTCTAAATGCAAACTATAAATAAAAATAAATATAATAGGAAAGTATTTAATTTATTATAAATATAATGGCTAAATGTGTAAATAAAAGAAGTACTTAATCTACTATCCAAGTTTCCAAACAATTATCATTTATTTCACTGTACTTATTTCCAAATAATATCAAAAGATACTTCAGTTTTAATAATATAAATACAAATTTTAAACAATTTAAAAATTAGTCATTTGGACTTTAGTAGGTAGACATATATTCTTACATATCTTACATATAGATTCAACTCCAGAAAAGTTTATATTTTAAAAATAAATAAATAAATTGAATTTTTACACGTGAATATAACAATAGTCAATACACTTATTTATTAGTCTTTTACGTGGTTTAATCACATAATTATATATATATATATATAATACACGTATTATTATTAAATTACCCTTATTAACATTAATACACGTATTATTATTAAAATACACTCATTAACATCAATAATAAAGAAACAAAATATTACAAACCATGAAATTTCTCAACTTATGAACCGGTTGAGCTTATGATAACACTAGATGCATCATATGCATTAGTTATTTGCATATCTCTTACAATCAGCAAATCACATGTTTAGTGATTGATCTATCTTAAATTCCTGTGAGGACGAAATCATTTTAAAATATACAATTCCTTGCATATCTTACCAATCTGATCAAACTTAAGACCATTGTTTGTTGGCTCCATAAACATGGTAAAACTTATCACTGAAATTTACAAATAACAATTAATGTTATAAGAATATACTAGAGTTTGATGGATATTTATTTCCATTTTTATAAATGGAATTATAATATTTATATTTTATACATATTAAATATTTTTAATATGAAATTTTGAACATAGTATTTTTGGTTATTATATTGAGTAATTATCTTTTGTTTTCTGAACCGTCAATCACACATATTTTTTTATATATTCTATTTAAATTAGACTTTTTGTATGAAGATAAGTTTCTAATATGTTATTTACAGAGTAATTGCTATTTTATTTAATTGATTTAGGTAACCATGTTTTGAATTTTAAAAAGACAACAAATGCTAAAAGTTAGACTTATTAAATTCTTAGTGAAATTTGGTGTAATTAAATAGTTAGTTTAGGGGTTAATTTATATTTATATTTCAGGATTGGTAGTATAAATTTAAGCTTTCAGTGTCAAAAGAGTCAAAGTCATTTCTACAAAGGTGTAAGTTGATTACTTGATTAGTTGTTGAATACTTTACTTGATTAGTTGTTAAATACTTTTGCGTCTGTTACTTCTTGGATATATATATGTGCTGATTGGTTATGATTTAGAAGTGCTGAAGAATATTTTCTAAAGTCCAAATATTTTCTACAGTACAAACCTATATCAATCATGTTTTAAAAAAAAAATATTTTTTGAAGCTACATATTTTCTTGTTTCTTTGTGGCTTTACAAAGTAAGATATATAGAATCTGCATTTCTTAATTTTATAAAATTTACAAGTGAATAATTAAATTTTCCAAACTAACAAATCTTTACGACAAAACATTATGCAGATACAACAAAATATCTACGACATTTGTTCTACATCAAAATATATAAATTTACAACCCTAAACCCTCTACAGCTTAAATAATTGTTCTCACATCAATCATCAATAATCATCATTTCCAAAAATAAACAAGGATGTTCTTTGTTAATTTGATTTGTTACGTTTATTAAGTTTATTTTACCAAATATAAATTTAGAATCATAATTGTTGGGACAACTATGACAAATTATGGAACCCCACTTGGTATACTGGGTTGGCTAAGAGGATTCATTAATATTTATATACGAAAAAATCTGAGTTTAAACTCAAAGAAGGTAGAATTATAAAATTTAATGGAGAAAACACTTAATAGAAATATACAACATGGAATAAGGAATAATGTGAAACGTAGATCTCATAAAACGGCCCAGATAATTTAGTTAGACGTGAATTTTCTTTAAAACATGTAGAATTATCGACTATAAAATCGTATGTATTATTTCCCATACTGTAATTTGTAATACGTGTTAAAAACAATGACTAATGATAGATAATAGATTTTCCATCTTATTTTTTAGGGAGTTGCTTATTTGCAAGAATATTCAGTTAACTTCATCAAGTTTATCATTTGGTCCCATATCACCATTTAAAATGATATTGTGCAGGATATCATGCTTATTATAAAATTAAGAAACAAGAATCATATAGTAGACCCTGCAGAAATACAACAAACAATAGCTTTAAGGAACTCGACTCCCTTATATATTAATTGAAGAATTTTACAATATTTGAGTGTAGTCACGTTTCATCATTAAGAGGATTTTTAGAATCTTTAGAAAAATAGTTTAGTCCATCTGAACATATATTATATCTTTGTTAAATTAACTATCAAAGTGATTAGTAGTACATAAATAATATTCTCATTTATTTTCTTAAATAAAAGTTGCAGAATTACATAATAAAATTAATATATATATGAAAATTAATGATTTTAAATAATAAAGATTTGATAATAGTTTTTTTCTCCATTTTATATTATTAAAAATTAAAAAATAACATTAACTATATAATAAAAATATAGATTCTTTTAATATATTTTATATTTTAAATTTTTAAAATGACTATAAATTACTAAAATTGTTAAAAGTTTACAATGAAAACTTTGTGAGTAGTAATTTTACTTTTTGTTATAAAAAAATACAAATGATCATAATATCATATAAATATGAAGTATCATTTAATAGAGATTCATATTAAATAAATAAATAAATAAATATATATATATATATATATATATATATATATATATATATATATATATATATATATATAATAGCGCTTAAATTAAATTGTACAACTCAAGTTTTTGATATTTGCATTGAAAATGTATTAAGAACTTAATATTTAACTAGGTGACTGGCCCGCATCCTGTACGGACATGAAAAAATACTGTAATATCGGTTGAGTTGGATTTTGATGGAAACGAATCTTCAATAGTGAACTTATTGATCTCCTAGTATTGCATGATCTTCTAAGTTTTTTGGTAATAGGTATGAGTCTGAGTTTTCTTCAGAGTGTTGTGAACATAGTTGGTATCATCTCATGGGCTGCTGTTGATCGGAACCGGCTTGATGGTCCAAAGATAGGGAGGTGACTTGTTGGTTCTATGAACCACTGTTTATGGTAACTATATTAGTTTCTGATTTTTTTTCACGAGATGTTGCGATTACAAGCAGTGATCTTGCAAGGAAACCTATAAAATCTACCCATTGAATCTTGAATAAATTTTTATTTCTGTTTCAGTTTTTTCAATATCTTTTACAATTATGATTATATTATAAGCTGTTTGAGTTTTTTACTTACCTAGGTACATATTATTGATAAAGCTACTATTTGGGTTTGATGCAGGGTGAATGTTGTAGTCTTTGTCATCTGGGAGGTAGTCATCTTAGCATTCTTAGTGTTCTCACGTCTAGTGTTAACACCCTAACACACGTCTAGTGTTAACACCCTAACACACGTCACTGAAAGATTCCTAAGCTACTCACTTATGTCTCTCTACCGCCTAGTACTCAGCCTCTGCTTCAGCACGACCCAAGAACACCTTAAGAGCTTCTCTCTCTCTCTATAAGATCAGCCTATGTGTCTCTGTCTCTCTACAGACGCCACCATAGCTATCTTATAGTTATTCTCCACGTTCCCAAAACCCTAGTATTCAAAGAACACAATATGGACATCTTCCATAACATTAAGTGCAACTTTCCTTTTCTTGGAATGCACTTATTCATCTTTCCTTTAAGTCATAAACTTGCTCCTCAAGTTTATTCCTCTTGCCTTTTCTCTAAGATACACCATTGCTTTCCAATTGTACACGACTCCAGCTCAGCATCTTGACTCCACATGGTTTTCACCACTCAACACGACGTCTGCTTCAGCAACTACGTCAGCGACTACTTCAGAGCGGACATCTTACATCTTCAGAACCCCAACAACAATTGTTCTTCTTCCTGCTATATCTCTTTTACTCTCACTACATTCGCACAACCACCGTTTGGAGATTACCGCCACCACAACCGTAGCTCTCTTTCACGCCTCACGATAAGATGCTGATGCTTGTTGCTTTACTGATAGATTGAAGTGTTGTTCTTTGATCAATCTTGTGATCTAAATTAGATGTTTAGGGTTTTTTATATTTTTTGCGGCCCTCTTCATCTGAATGGCTATGTTTCAGATGTGATTGCAAATTCTTGTTATCAAACCTTCATTACTATGTTAATGATATTTACATTCTTAGCAAAACACAAAAGATAATAAAAAAAGGTGAAGCCATGAAAATTCGATTATGAGAGCAAAGAATTACTCATATCTAAGCCACAATCTTAGGAGGTGTTAACGATTTCTACTCCCTCCTACCTAATATTATATATTGAACTTCCCTGTTTAGCTTGATCGAAGCATGAGGTCGATCTCAAGCCTAAGAGTGATCCAGCTTTGTTAATGTCCGAATTCCAGAGGATTTCTTTTCTGATCTTATAGCATTTGATCCAATTTACCCACAATGATTTTTCGTGTGAAAAATAGTATAAGATACGTTGTCGGTATGCACAATTTTATCACCAAATTCCCAGAATAGTTTTCGTGAAAATGTTTATATCAGAAAATTTCCGATCAAATTCCTACAAAATCAGTATATTAGTTCTCATAAATTCGTGATTAGGGCATACATGTCAACTATTATGTGCATGTAAACAATCAATAGTGACTAGGATATAAATCTCAACTATAAAGCTAGGACCGCTTAATAGCATGTGCAAGTGGAACGGTCGAACATGACCTCAAATATAAAAATATAAAAATAAGAAAAAAATAAGGAAAAATTAAAAAAAATTAAGAAATATATAGATAAATTATGATAATTTTTTTTAAAAAAAATTAGATATATTACAAGATTATAACTTATAATTTTTAAACAAAACATCAAACATAGTTATTAACTTTTAAAAAAAATTGATTAAAATCATAAATATACCGTGAATTATTTTTTTAACAGGGTCTAAAATTTATTTGAGACGGCTCTACATAAAACCAACCAATTATTTTTAATTATTTTTTTATCTTTCTTTTTAACAGGAACTGAGAATGAGCAGAACTTACATCCTGACCTCTGGGAGATCCACGTTGATACTAAGAGAGCGGTTCTTTTTTTTTTTTTTCTATTCTTTGGTTTTTTTTTTCTTTGTTTTTTCTGCTCACCCCGAGTCGGGACGACAGAAGCACAGATCGTACCAGCTCCTCCAGATGTAGAGCTCCAGCCCCAGCCCTAGGCAAGTTATAAACTAAAGCATTAAAAATACTTGGTTATAAATGTTGTTCTTTATAAAAATACTTAGTTATAAATGTTGTAATTCTCTTAGAATGTCTTTTCTCCAAAAAATGTTGTAGTTCTTTTTCACCTTTCTATGAATTATTAGAGTTTGACCCACGTTCTTTTCATTTTATTTTGACAAATTAAAAATTAAACTGCAAAATAAGTGTTTTTAGGTATTCTACTTTTATGTTTTATTCTGATTCATTACATGAGTTCCACATAAGTAATGCCAGCACTTTACAAATAGGAAAGATTAGCCACATTATAAAAATAACCACGAAATTGAAATTAGTTTTATAATCTTTTTGCTATAGTCAGATAAATTTAGCATAATTAGACACATCATATATATATATATATATATATATATATATATATATATATATATATATATATATACATATATGACAAACTCGATTTTACAATCAAACATTTATTACACATAGAACATTAATCATTTATGAATGGAGGGAGTATATGTTATGTGATGTTGTAATCATCATTAATTGATAATCATTAATGTGATAAATGTGGATATATTTTTCATTCAAGGCAAATTATGAGAATTAAATAATAAACAAGTAATAGTATAATTGTTAAATGACGATAATAATAACTATAAAAATGACCTTATTATATATTGAGATCTGAAAAAATAATCTAATAAAAATATAACTAAAAAAACAATAACGAATACATTGACTAAATAATAACATGTCATTAGAACGAAAATTAGATAATTTCATCTTTTCCAACAGATTATTACTAAAACCTGAGTGTTATTACAATGCAACTATTTTAAAAAATTGTCATGAGACCAAGAAAAGACTCAAAACCCACAAAATTCAGTATGTCCACTCAAATTCATCACTAAGGCAAATTGTAAGACAAATGGCCATTCTCAGGTCTCATTATCATAAACCAAAACTTGTCTTCCATCTTACAATAAAACTCTTATTCAAAAAAAAATATAAGTAGAGCAAAAAAAACAATCATAAACTTTAGTAAAAAAAAAAAAAAATCAATCCTCTGGCTCGTTCTTCCTTCCACCTTCATTACCTCCCTTCTCTTCCAAAAGCCTACCACTCTCTTCATCAATCTGCTGAGCACTCTTCTGAGCCTCTTTAGCCTTCAACGCTTGTAACTTAGCATGATTATAATACGCAACGCCCAAGAACGCAATCCCATAACCAAAAAGATTAATAGGAGTCACAGTGTCCTTAATAACCGACCATGAGAATGCGATCAATAACCAGTCCTTAACCACACCAGCCACATTCATGGTCAAAGCAGACGTCTTCCCCACCAAAAGAAACACAGCAAGATTCAAAGCAAACGCACAAAACGAGTTCGTCCCGAAAATAACATAATCAAAATGAAAGCTAGAGGTCTCTCTAAGAACCGGAAACTCCACAACAATCCAAGGGATAAACAAGAAAGCTAAGCAGCATGGTGCAACGTAGTAAAGAGAAGTGATGGGATTCAACGTGATCCCTTTAGAAGTAAGCAAGATCTGAATCATTACCAATCTTGTCGCCTCGAACGCAACCGCACCNCGAAAATAACATAATCAAAATGAAAGCTAGAGGTCTCTCTAAGAACCGGAAACTCCACAACAATCCAAGGGATAAACAAGAAAGCTAAGCAGCATGGTGCAACGTAGTAAAGAGAAGTGATGGGATTCAACGTGATCCCTTTAGAAGTAAGCAAGATCTGAATCATTACCAATCTTGTCGCCTCGAACGCAACCGCACCGAGCTGAAGAACCACACCCCACACATCGAACCTAGCTTCTCCATAAGCAGCGATAGCTACACCAAAGGAGATAGATAACATGTTCATCATAGTCTCCGACTTAAAACCTTCCTTCTTGAACAAGACACCGATGGAGTAGACCGCGACGGGCATGAGGGCTTTGAGCATTTGTATGAAGGAGACGGAGAGGTAAATGTAAGCGGAGTTAGAGAGCCATAAGGAGAGTGAGTACAAGGCGCCGATGGGAACCACGGATCTGAGGTAAGTGTCACGTGACATGGAGACAGGCTCGACGAAGTTAAAGACCTTGATGAGGAGGAACGCTAGGGTTGAGCAAAAGGACATGTGGATCATGGTGAGAGAGATAGGGAAAGGCCAGTCGTACATCTTCTTGTCGAGGATGTATTTGTTGTAGACGATGACGGTGAAGCTGAGGAAGATCCATATCGCTACGTAGGTGTAGGAGAGGACGATGTTCTTGATCACGCCTTCGCTTAGTGATCCGCCTTTACCCATTTTTTTTTTTCTTGAATATGATTTGTTTTTGTCCGGACAGTGGTTATTGCGACTGAGACAGCGGTTGTGGTGGAACAGCGAGTTTGTTTTGTGAGATCCTGAAATAACGTTTCCACTACGTAACGGAAGTGCTTCGCTAATTTATATTTTTTTCTTTCTTTAATGACCGATCAACAATATTCATATTCTCACTTACGTGATGTAGCACGAAGATTCATATTATAAAAATAAATATACTATATTTATAATTTATAATTTTATAAAATATTTTTTATTTCAACAAAGTCTTTATAACATTTGTACAATATATATTATATCTGTTTATATTCATTTATATATGCTACTAAAGTTTTATATTGATTTTACAATTTTAGATTATAATTCAATTTAATATGTCAATACTAATATATATATATATATATATTATTTTATAAGTTATTTGAAATTATAAATACAATTTAATATATTTGAAACTAATTAGAAGAAGCAAATAAATTTAAACCTAATCATTTACTAAACCAAGAGAAATGAGAACAATTAAGGTCTCAAACATAATTAATCTTTATAATATACCAGTCCATGATGCATCATGCATTAAAATAAAAATTTCTTATTTTCTAATTTATTTTGAAATATGTGGATTAATCCATACGAAAAAATGAATTTTTTGATAAATACTATCTATACCGTTTAGCCCATTTAGTATTGTTTAAAAATACCTACACACACTCCAAATTTATAAATATGTATGTTAAACTTATTTTAATGGTTTATGAGCATCATTTATAATTTTCTAATGAGTAATTTATTTAGACTTTATATACAAGCTAATGAAAGAACTAACCCCTACAACAACTCTATTTTATGGAGAAACAAGAATACCTAAGGTTTCAACCGTCTTTATTCTCCATACTATGTCAGTGCATTATACATCATTTCGTTAAAACAAAATACAATATTTTTTTAATTTATCTTGAAATATGTGTGTTAATCTCTACAAAAAGATCGAAGTTTCCGATAAATGTTATATATATGCCTCTTTAGATTTGTTTAAAAATACCTAACCACATTCAAAATTTATATTAATGTATTAAAATTATTTTCATGGTACATGAGAATCAGTCTTAATTTTCAACCAATTAATTTTAAAAAACTCTATATACCACCAAATCAATGAACAAAACGCTAAGATCTATATTTTCTAGAAAAATATGGACAATTCAGGTATCAAAACTCTTTAATATTCATCATATATCAGTGTTGGATGCATCTATGCATAATAAAAAAATGATATATTTTCTACTTTATTTTGAGATTTGTGGGTTAACTCCTACGAAAAAATCAAATTTTCTGATTTGAGTTAACCCCTACAGAAAGATCAAATTTTTCGATAAATGTTATATGTAGGCCTCTTTAGATTTGTTTAAAAATACCTGACCGCATTCAAGATTTATTGATGTATTAAACTTATGTTCATGGTATATGGGCATCAATCTTAATTTTCAACACATGAATTTAAAAAAAAATTCATTATACCACCAAAATCAATGAACTAAACCCTATAAAATCAAAATCTTTTGAGAAATTTGGACAACTAAAGTATCAAAAATCTTTAATATTCATCTTATATCAGTTTTGGATGAATTTATGCATAAATACAAAATTCCATATTTTCTATTTTATTTTGAAATATATGGGTTAACCCCGTATGAAAAAAATTGATTTTTTTGATAAATGCGATTTGTACTTAAGTTAAACCTCTTTAATGTTTAAAATATCTAACCACACTAAAAATGTATAATATTGTATTCTAAATTTATTTTCATGGTTCATGAGCATCAGTTAAGATTTTTCAATGAGTAATTTAGTAAATTTTCATATACCAAGTAAATCAAAGAACTAAACCGTATAAAATCTCTATATTTTAGAGAAATTGAGACAAAAAAATGTCAGAAATCCTTGTCCTTCATCTTATATGTGTTGAATATATCTATGCATTAAAAGAAAAGTAGTGTATTTTATAATTTGTCTCGAAATCTGTGAGTTAACCCCTACAAAAAGATCAAGTTTTCCGATAAATGCTATATACTGAATTTTAAGCTATTTCATGTTGATTAAAAATACCTAATCAAATTACAAATTTTTATTAATGTACTAAACTTATTTTCATGATACATGAGCATCGTTTCTAATATTTTAATGAGTAATTTAATAAAACTTCATATTCCACCTAATTATGTGGAATAACCCCTATAAAATATGTAATTTTTATAGTAACATGAACAAATAAGATCACAAATAAGGTCCAAGGCCTCTTTAATTTTCATCACATGTTACTACATGATGAAATTTTTCATTAAAACAAACCACACTCTAAATATATATATTCATGTATGATAAACATATTTACATGGTACATGGGCATCATCTTTAATTTTACAACGAGTACTTTTAAAGAAATTAAAATATGTCCTAATTAGCTGACTAACCTCTATAAAATCTCTATTTTCTAGAGAAACATGTACATCTAAGGTCTTAAGCCTCTTTAATCTTTATAATATATCATTGCATGATACAGCTATGAATTAAAAAAAATAACATATTTTTCTATTTATCGTGAAATATGTGGGTTAGCCCCTACAATTTTTTTAATATAAATTCTATTAATGATATTTAGCCTCTTCAGTGTGATTTAAAAATACCTAACAACATTCTAAATATATATATATATATATATATATATATATATATATATGCTAAACTTATTTTTATGGCACATGGGTATCATTTCTAATTTTTCAGTGAGTAATTTATTTAAAATTCATATAGCACCTAATAAATAGACTAACCTCTATAAAAACTCTTCTTTTTAGGAGAAACGGGAACACCTAACGTATCAAACCTCTTTAATCTCCATACTATGTTACTTCATGATGGAGATATGCATTAAAAAATATCATACTTTCTACTTTATCTAGAAATATGTGGGTTAATCCCTAAAAAAAAAGATCGAGTTTTTCGATAAATGTTATATATACTAAAGTTTAACCTCTTTAGTTTTGTTTAAAAAATAACTAACCACATTAAAAATTGATATTAATGTACTAAACTTATGTTAATGGACATGGGCATTAATTCTAGGAGTTAAATAAAACATCATATACCACCAAATTCAGTGGACTAAACCCTACGAAATCTCTATTTTCTAGAGAAATTTGGACAACTAAGGTATCACAACTTTTTATATTCATTATATATCAGTGTTGGATGCAACTATGCATAAATACCAAAATTTCATATTTTTAATTTTTTTTGAAATATGTGTATTAACCTGTACGAAAAGATCGAGGTTTTTCCAATAAACAGTATTGTACTTAAGTTCAATCTCTTTAGTGTTTTTTAAAATATTTAAGCTCATTAAAAATTTATAATAATTTATCTTAATTTTATTTTAATGTTACATGGGCATCAGTGATAATTTTCCAATGAGTAATTTAATAAAACTTCATATACCACGTAAATCAAAGAACTAAACTCTATGAACTTTCTATATTCTAGAGAAATTGGGACAAAAAAGGTATTAGACATCCTTGATTGTCATCCTATATATTTTTTGGATGCATCTATGCATTAAAAGAAAAGTACCGTATTTTATAATTTATTTTTAAATATGTGGGTTAACCCCTATAAAAAGATCGAGTTTTCCGATAAATGATAGTTATTGAAGTTTAAACTCTTTCATGTTAATTATAAGTAGCTAATCACATTATACATTTTTATTAATGTATGTTAAACTTATTTTCATGGTACATAGGTATCGTTTCTAATATTCTAATGAGTAATTAATAAAACTTCATATTCTACCTAATTATGTGGACTAATTCCTATCAAATCTGTAATTTCTATAGAAACGAGGATAAATAAGGTCCCAGGCCTCTTTAGTTTTCATACATGTCAGTGCATCATAAAATTATGCATTAAGACAAAATAACTTATTTTCTAATTTATCTTACGAAAAGATCGAGTTTTTTTCCAATAAATGCTATATATACTAAAATTTAGCCTCGTTAAAATTTTTTTAATACCTAAGAATTAACAGGGTTTTCCAATAAATTCTATATATATACTTAATTCTAGCCACTTTAGTGTTGTTTAAAAATACATAAATTATACTAAGAATTAAGAGCTTCTGAAGAAGTATGTTTTCGTATAGCGTTCCATAAAAATTATAATGATTCATCATCAAATGCTACAATTACCAAAAAATACTATAGTTCATCCTTAATGGTTCATCATCAATATTTTAGATGGTTGATAACCAAAAATTTCAAGGTTTCATTTTAATCAGTTACAACTATTCATCCAGAAAATTACAGTAGTTCATTTAAATAGTTACAAAAATTTACTCAAAATTCCAACAATCATTCTCCATTTAAGTGTAATTAGATATTTACTAAATAAATAATACTTATATCAAAATCATGCATAAATTTAAAAGTGCACATATATAAAAAAAAAGTTCATGGCTTACATTTTGTTGGTGCTTATCTACTAATAAATAATATTGTCAAAATAGTTCAAATATTTGATTTGAAATGGTATAAAAACAAAACCGAATCAGAATTAAAAATATATCAAGTTTTTAAAAATAGTATTAAAACCATAAATTTAATATAATATTATAAATAATTAAACTACTCAACATACCAAATTACCTCAATATTTTAAGATAATTTTTAAGATTTTTCAAAATGCATACAAATTAGTTATGCAAAATAACTAAAAGACAATTCATTAAAAATATTCACAAGTTTTAGAATGAAATGATACACCTTAGACACTTTCACAACCTCTTCAAAATTTATGTAATTTTTATAATGAAAAAAACACCCTTTACATATTTTTACAATATCTTATAAACCAATGCACCTTTAGGATGAAAAGACATATCATTAGTAAAATTCATCTTTAAATATTTTGATAATTTTTATTAAACTAAT